GAAACTGGGATCTGCTGTGTGGGACTGTGGGCAGGTTTTTCACCTCTGTTGGGCTCAGTTTTACATTTGCAGAAATGTGAATCATTTATAAACTTGTTTTAGCCATGGAGGTTTTACTTTAAATGGTTGCAATTCAGTATGGCAATCTGGAGCTGCTCTGATGGTCCAGGTTCTAAGCAGAGCATGAAAACCTTTGGCTCATACGACCTCGTGGGTCTGTTGTAGTACAGACATTTTATGAGTATGGAGAGAATAAATTTTAGTTAGTGTTCTACTTCTACCAGGCATTGCCATTTAAGCCTTTTACTTCTAATTGTGGAATGAAAGGCTTTGGTCCATCTTGAAGGAATTTCAGGCATTAAGCAAGCAAACAGGTGGGAGGACTTTGGGGAGAGCTCTGAAATTAATCTGTGCCTGCTTGTAAGGTTAATCCAGAGGACCTGAAGGTAAACCTGGTTTAGTCTCTGAACGTAGCTGGAGGATGGGGGAGGTTGGTTGAGAAAGGATGATCCGCTGTCTCCTCTGCCCAGACAGGTTCCTCCCTCCTAAGAGCCAGCTGCAGCTGTTGGCGACCTGTTCAGGGATCCTTTGGGGTGGAGGAGCATCTTGGGTTTGCACACATTTGTCCTCCAATCTTCCCTACCCCAGCGTGCGTCCATCAAGAGGGCTGCTCCATCTGCAAAGAGCTTCATCCTCACTCTGTCCCTCCCAGACCACAAGTTCAGTTTCCTGCCCTTTCCTTTGCCGTAACATCTCCATTTTCTGCCTCGAAAACTCTGAATAAGAGTATTTTTTTGGAATATTTTCTACTGTTTGAGGTATTTTATGATTTTTTTAAATCTAATATACTTAAAGTTCCCTGTGCTTCTGGGGATGAAGCTTCTAAGTTTCAGCTTTTTATTAGAATGTGTCAAAATCTTACTATTTTAGCAATCTTACTATGTTTAAAAACGTTACTATTCTTATTGATGAATATGAAGGTAATATAGCACGGAAATGGTTTATGAGCTTCAACACATGAATGAAAAATGAAAGAAATACTTGTTTAGTATAATGTAATAGCAGTTTACAGTTTCATCCTCACAATAATCATACAGACGGGGCAGAATGAGTATTATTTACCGGATAGCAGATTAAAATCAAAGAGATTAGTTGAAAGTCAGCTCAATTCACACAGCAGTGAAAAATCCATAGGTTTTTAACTCTGTGTTCCATGTTGTCTTTAGTATATTAAATTGCCTCTTTGAATAGTATAATTATAAGGTGATATTAATCTCTTGCAATCTTGTTCACATACATAGTCAACTTTTATAAAATTATCAAGTAGAATCACAATGGACTAAAAAGAAAATATAAATAAAGTAAAAGAGGGAGCTGATATTTATTGAACACCTAGTGTGTGTCTTTATATTCATTAATTACCTCCTCCATTCAGTCAGGAATTTATCATCTAATGGACCTGTGTCAGTGGCAACGACCGTTAAGCCATTCTTGTAATGAGCTAGCCATCTTCTCCCTATTCTCAGGTGTTTATGACAACACACACCTAAGCACAATCACCCAGGGCGTGAGCCTTCCCTTTGCTTTTTGTCCACATGATACCTGCTCTCCAAAAGCAGATCCAGCCAGAAATATGTGTTGAAATAGAAAACAAGAGGTCAAAACAAAACACCTAACCAATGATGAATTCTGAAACTTTTCTCTAAATACTTCCTGTGTGTTTGTTGTAAATGTTTATAAAAGGTAAAAATATTTTCACAGAGAAATAACATCACTGTGAAAAAATCTCTTACTGGAGTGCCAAGAAAGATTACGTTTAAACTCAGCCTTGAAATATTATACTCTTAGGAGTGGAGAAGAGTGAACAGATCCAGGTAATATGGGTAGAATTGACAGGTTTTGGTAATTCATCTGATGAGCCAGGGAAGAGTATTCCAGCTACTTCCAGTAACCACCCACCCTCACGATCATATGAGGGCCCATAGAGTGGCTTATGTTTCCTTCTAGGTACATATCTAACTTTAGAGAAGAGCCTTATCAAGGGGGTACATATTAGTGAGGAACTGGAATGGTTTAGGAAGCTTTCCTTTGTTAATTGATGAACTGGGTCTGTCTGAACTTGGGTTTATAGTCACTGGTTTTTAAATAATTACCATGATGGCAAATTTTTACTAATTCTATCTCAGGCTGACAGTTTGCATCTATTTTTGAAAGTTAGCAAGAACTCTTTCTGAAGCATGAATAGTACCAATTGTCCTGAATTTTCTAACACTGAAGAGCAATCTGGTTTTGTCGTCTCTCTCTGTTTTCTGTAATTCATTCTTCATTGAATGAATTTTCTGCTTGTAAGTTTTCACTTCCTCTGTTGCTGATAGCTTCTGTTTTTTCTCTTCCCATTCATATTCTTGAGCCAGTTTATTTTGCAGAGTCATATCTTTCTGCTGATAGAATTTACTGAGAATTTCTGTTGCAAAGATCTGGCCAAGTTTAGTGAATGAGAACCATGTTCCAACTTCTGTATGTGTTCATACAGCTCATGCCTGGCTGACAATTCATTACTCAGTTTGGAATGGAAATGGCTACTATCTTTTGTGACAATTGTTAACATCAGTTTTGTCTGATTTCTCTTTTCTGATTTGTTATCTTCTCACTCTGTTCTGCCAGCTATCCATTGCCAAATTCGTCTCATCCATTTCATTTTTATTATTCTTTTTGTCTTTAAAATCAGAAGCAAGATCAAATTATTTGATCTGCACAGTAGACTTCTTCAAACATCAGATTATTCTCTTTGTAAGTAAGATCTTTACCTAGACTTTTCTGAGAGTTTTGTATAATTTATTAGTTCACCAAGCTCAGTATAATGCTCCCTGCAGTTTTCTGATTCCGATAATAATTATAATCTGCTTTTCTTAAATCCGGTATTTTCTTTGTAAATTCATTAGTTTATAGTCCATCTTCTCATAACTTAGTTTAAATTCATTTTCTCTGTCAAATATTATGACATTCTTTGTAAAACCCTACCATATTCAATAGATATCTGTCTTGCCAAATGCCATTTCAGTTTGCTTGCATCCTGTTCTTCAATTCTCAATATGACAGATTTACCACAGCATTTGTTTCATTTCTTTAAACCTTCTGATTGAATATTTAATTCAGATATGTTCAGAAATATTTGTATTTTGGTTTTTGATTTCTTCAAAAGATGTGAGTGCTTCTTTAATCATTTTTTTCATAATCTCTCTGTTAAATAAAATAAAAATTTATTCAAGTTATTTCTTAAACATTTGTGCAATCTATTGTTTTTATTTGATGAAATCTACTGTTGAAAGACACATTCCTCAGGGGGAAAATGGCAAAGAAGCTAATTCCCAATAAATAAGTAATAATTAGAGGCCTCTAAGACATGTTGTAAAAATCAGGGCTGGGCCTTTCTGGTACCTTTGTTGTAGGTGAGACAACAGTCAGTCAAAGTACTTTCCATTATAATTTCCCTCTGGTATTTCCTAACTTTTTTTTTTTTTTTTTGTCTTTGAATATTCCTAAGTTTCTCCTTCCACATAGTTAGGGTGAACTATTTTTACATGCCACTTGAAATATAAGTTAAATCATAGGACTACTATATTCAGTTTTGGAAAATTCTCATCTGTCATCTCTTCCACAATGGCTTCTAATGGTCCTACCATGTGAACCACAGACATTATAAGTATATAGTGGTTGCTAGAGAGTTCTTAGTTTAAGTGATGTTGTACTAGAAAAAGTATAATTCTTAGTCTTAAGGAAGTTTTATATATCAGATTATGTCTCTATGTGTATGTGTGTGTGTGTGTTTGAGACTTACTCTGTGTAAGGGATTGGGAGGAAACTAACTGCCCCACTGATGTTTTTATTTCTCATGATAGTGTTTCCATGTGGGAGCTGGTAGCTCAGGATCACATTGAAAGTCGCCTGGATACTAAGGCCTGTGCTGCTTGTGTCTTGAACTTTCTAAAGTTTGGAAGTCATCAGTCCTACTTAGCAGCTCATTCTTTAAAATCAGGCAGTTCTGTATTTTCCTTGGCTTTCTTCTCCTGGCAAATATTATAAGACCTCAATTCTCATTGTGGGCTAATTATTCTCTTCTATTTGCCTGAACCATAATTCAGTGCAAGGCTACTCCTGCCCAAGGAAATGAGGACAGAAATTATATAATTGAGAATAATGGCTTGAAAGCCATGAACGTCTAGAATCTTGTGCTAAGTCTGATACATACTAGCTTGGTGGTCTTTACCGGTAACTCACCGGGAAAAAAAAAAAAGTTGTTTTATTTCTCTGCTTTTAAAATGGGATCATCATAAAGGCTAACTATTTATTGAATGACAATAATGACCTTGCCCTTGTAGAAAAGTCAGATCTATAATTACTACCTAAATACTGCCCTATTAAAAAGGTTGTGATTTTATTCAGGTGATTGTTGATCAGTAAAATTCCAATATATTCACATTTAATGAGGTATAAATATTTGTAAGGATTGTTTTCCATTACTAATATATACATTTAACTAACTGCCAACTAAACATTTTCAGAAAATTATGATGGACCTGACTGAAAAGAAACTATAAATCATTTGGACTTAGTACTTTTAAATTATTAATCAGTACTTTAATTATTCATATACTGAAAGGAAATATTCCTTAGAAACATAAAACTCAACACTAACAATTTTCTTAGCAAACTCTTTCTTTACTGATGATATTAAAGCAGGATGAACAAAAATTCCGAATCATTGGTGTTAAGTAACCCTAGATGATCATGTATCTAGAGTAGCTTTTATAATTAAATGAACCTTAAGAGTTCTGCTGAAACACGAAAGACAGTACTGACCTTTACAAATATCTGGTCTCTTTCTTGAAATTGGTAGATAAAAACAATGAGAAAATATATGTAAATTATTTACTAGACATTTTGGTGGAACCAGGAAAAAAAGTTAAACTACACTCAAAACATTATCCTTTGTATTTCAGGCCCTCCAGGGAAACGAGGTAAGAGAGGCCGAAGAGGAGAATCTGGTAAGTCTCTCTTTCAGCTGCTCTATGTCACTCATGTTCTGGTTAAGTTCCGGCATCTGTTCTTCCTAATTAATGATAATATTGTCTTGTTGGAGGTTGTATGTGTGCGTTTAAATCTTCTCTGCTAGACCTAGTTGGTTTTTTTTTTTTTTTTTTAAATCTTCTTATTTCTATCAAACTGCAGAAAGGGGAAGTTTGCAAAGTATTGTTAATTGCAGTTTAGTAACAATTGGTACCCATTTGGGGCTTATTTACTGGGTCAAGTTAAGTCTGTCCTTTCTGTGTACAATGGAGGGTTTCTCAGCTGCACACAGTGTGATAACATCAGCCAGGTTTCCATCGATGTAGGTGGTCAGTAAATGTAGGTCCTTTGCAAAAACATCTGCCTTGGGACACTAGGGCACGTGTCTTAGAAAGCTGTGTTGCTATTTTATCCAGTTGGCACAATTTTGTCATGCTTTTACTCCCATTGTTTTCAAAATTCGAGAATGTGTTATCCTTCTTGTACAACCATGGAATTTTATTAATGACAGGAGCCTTAGTAATCAATCCAGAATTTCCATTTTATAGTTGAGGAAATGGAGGCCCATAGCAGTCAGGTGATTTGGCCAAGGCAGAACTTGAAACAGAACCAATTGTCCCGATTCCTACTTCAGGACATTCTTGCTTTCAGGTCAAATCCCGGTATGTAAAACAAATCTCCAATGTAAAACAGAAAAGTCAAGTAAATTTCTTTTGAAACTGAGGTGATCTGTATAAATGAGTTCACTTACTGTTTTTCTTTTTTTTTGGAAAGTGACCACATAAAGTCTTATGAGGCCATTAATTCTTCCATGCAAGATAAAGTAATTTAAGATTTGACTCTAGCATGCCGTAAATTATTTTTCAGTATTTTCTCTAAATATTTATCAATATTAAAAATAATCAATTACTAAGTATTGAAACAGAAACATTAACCTATCAAGAAGAGCTGATAGCAGATTGATGTGTGGTTTTTTTCTTGCCTCATGTCCTCTTCCATTTTAAGAAAGATGTAAAAGTAAAAAGTGTTTATGAAAATTTATTAATTTGAGCAGTGTAGTTGCTTGTTTTTTTTTTTAAAGAGTGTTATCAAAATCTACCTTTAAAACTCATTGAGTCTAAATAATTGGAAACTTGTGTAGGTATTCCTTCATAAAGTGTAAAGTTTTCTAATACAGGATACTGTATAAATTTGCTTTGAGGAAAAAGAAATGATAAAACATTAGTGGAATCAGATAATCATAGAAATGATCTTTGATTGTTGTCAAAAGAAAGAGAATTATGGGGAAAAAGTGAAAAATTTATGCTTATACAAAGTTTCTTAGAAAATAAAAGCCAATTTCCAACTTCCTAGCTACTTAGAACTGGTATTTTAATTGAGCATAATGGTATGTGAAATATTTAAAATTGTCTTAGACTTTGCCTGTTTTGATGGTTTTAAAGAAATTTATATAAACATGAGGAACTAGACTTTTATATATTTATAATAGTGTTGAATAAAAAATTCTAAGGACAAATAATAGGTACATTTCTCATTTGGCTGTTTTATCAAACTCAAGAAGTTATATATCAATTCTCTATAACTGGTCTATCATAAATTACCAAATATTCTCATAATTCATACTTATCTAAACTTTTATAAATTAGTCTTTACTTAAGATATATGAACCTCAGTAATTCATAGACAGGCTTTAGGCAATCTAAAAATCACTTGAAATTTTATGTAAAATTTTGTGTACAATTATAAATTTTTCTGAAATGGTCTCAAAGGTTCCATGGCCTAAAAACGGTTAAGAATCAGTGAATTTTTAAAAACTTCCATGTCTGTTATATCATGCTGATTATGCTCATATCTTTTGTTTGATCTTAATATTTTGCATATTCACTAACTCATCTCTCTCCCTCTTCTTCTCTCTCCACCTGCTCCCCCGATAGGTCCTCCTGTAAGTACATTTGCTGCACTTTGGCTTGTTTGCATTTATCAGGATCATGTATGTTAAAACTTTGTTAAAACATAAAAATATAGCCTATATGTCTATTAGAAAAATGTTACTGACCTTTTAAGAGTATACTTAAAGTTTGGAAAATTATTTTTTAAATACACAGTTTTGTGATCATGTGATATGTTAGAATGCAGTGTATGTCCATTTAAATTTGTTTTAAATTTTTTTATTTCCATAGGTTATTGGGGAACAGGTGGTATTTGGTTACATGAGTAAGTTCTTTAGCAGTGATTTGTGAGATTTTGGTGCACCCATCACCTGAGCAGTATACACTTTACCCTATTTGTGGTCGTTTATCCCTCACCCCCTTCCTACCTTTTCCCCTGAGTTCCCAAAGTCCATTGTGTCATTCTTATGCCTTTGCATCCTCATAGCTTAGCTCCCACTTATGAGTGAGAACATACGATGAAAAACATTTATTTCTGATATGATCACACACCAATACCCTCATGAGATTTTTGGATAACTTATGAAGCTTCTGATTTTAAATCCTTTTCCTGGAATTCTGAGGTTTCTTTTGCAAGCAAATCTCCAAGCTATTTCACACTTCTTTTTTCATCTGTTTAAACTTGTATCTGAAATATTTGCATTTGCCAGTCTACCAAATGTAGATGGCAACATGATCATGGAAATGATACCCCCAGTGAGCTTGGACCAGTCCTCCCTCCTTAGGCAACACTTCTTTTGAAGTCTTTTGGAGTTTTGCCTGCATAAAGAACATGAGATGGAGCCCTTGGAGAGTTTCACTTTCTTTTTTCTTTCCTTGAGTAGGTCATAGCTGCAGCATTCCAGTCTGCTTTGCACTCACAGGAACAGATTATCTTGTCAGCTCTGAGCTGGATGTGTTTTTGAGTAATATGCTGGATAACTGCATCTGACCCCAGTGTTTATACGGTGCACTGTGCATTTACGGTAGCAATGATCATTGGCCTTGAGATATTTTCTCATCCTGGATAGCCAGTTTGCTCCAGGGTTTGCAGACTCCACATTGGCAACTTATCTAACAGGCCAGCATGGTCCAGGGAGAGGGGCTTAGCGTATACTCGTTTACTTTATTCAGAGGAAACATTGGCTTTCAAATATCTTTTGCAGTCTTCCTGCCACGTTCAAGGATGGAACATTAATCATGTTAGAAATGACTTTGCTTCTGTAACCGACTTTCAGCTCTTGCTTAATGCTAGGCAGATGGCATGCCCTAGGTCTAAGAGTCTTTACTTTTTGGCTTCATACTTAAGTCTCTTCATGTTAAGTAAGTAACAAACCACTACTACCCAGAGGAAACTCCTGAGGTTACGGATGGAGTAGAGTGTTCAAGGCTTCTTTCTGTGGAATCCACATTAGCTATGCCAAGAGTAGTTAAATCTCATTTCTGCCTTATGAATTCTTCAGAATTCTAGTACTTCCTCTTTGATTCCTCGAAAATTCAAGCAACCACATAGTTCTCGCTTTCTTGAGGCTGTTAGTCCAAATTTTCTACCTAAAGATGTCAATTGTTCCTCCTTTTCTTATTATATATAAATAATTAGCATTAAGCCCCTAATGTAAGGCAAGCAGTATTCTAGGCACTTTACATGTATAATTTCATTTTGTTCTCACACCAACCCTCTGATGTTACCATTCCTATTGTTCAGTGAGGAAACAGGCTCATAGAGGTTAATTACCAAAGGTTGCACAGCTAGAGGATTTGCAAAGTTGAAATTCAATTAGATATGTCTGATTTCAAATCGATTCAGTTTACCACACTTTATTCCATTCCTTGTGAATTATACTTGTGTTATAACATGGATCATTGTTACATGGGTTTGTCAGGCCATGGGTGAAATCATATTCTTTGATTAAAATAATCACATATAATATAAAATTATGGCCAAAAATGCAAAATGGCTAATCTATAAAACAAGTATTGATACTGTCCCACCTTGACTACATTTTAAAGAAGTTATAATATGTTTGGCAAACAGCATCAAATCCAATAAATAAAGTATAATCATGAGTTTCCATACTGACTGGAAGATAATTCAAGTTGCGTATATTTGATAAGATGAAAAAACATTGATTGTACAAAAGAGAAAAAACATTGATTATGCTATCTTTACTAATAAAATAGAAGCCTACCATAGTACTTAGGACCCAATATCATGGGCTTCCTTGTGGGTAAAATACATTACGATGAAATCCTCTTGAGCCTCCAATTCGTAAATCTCCACGTATAATATCTAAAAAGTATCTGCCGTCCATCACATTTTGCTTTAGAATAGGTGGCTTTATAACAAATTTCTGGCATGTTTTTATATCAGAGTAAATATTAATGAACAATGGGATTATTGCAATTAGATAAATTTATCAGCAATATGTTTATTTAGAGACAATACCCAATTACTGACAATTTGAATTTCTAGGGACTATTCCTATTTTTACATCACCTTAATTTTATGTACAGTTAACCCTTGAACAGTGTGAGGGTGAGGGGCACCAACCCTCTTCTCAGTGAGAAATCCACAGATAACTTTTGACTCCCCAGAACTTTACTACCAATAACCGACTGTTGACAGAAAACCTTACCGATAACACAAACGGTTAATTAATATACATTTTGTATGTTGTCTGTATTACATACTGCATTATTACAATAAGCTGGAGAAAAGATGTTATTTAGAAAATCACAATGAAGGCAGGGCGCGGTGGCTCAAGCCTGTAATCCCAGCACTTTGGGAGGCCGAGACGGGTGGATCACAAGGTCAGGAGATCGAGACCATCCTGGCTAACACGGTGAAACCCCGTCTCTACTAAAAAATACAAAAAACTAGCCGGACGTGGTGGCGGACGCCTGTAGTCCCAGCTACTCGGGAGGCTGAGGCAGGAGAATGGCGTGAACCCGAAAGGTGGAGCTTGCAGTGAGCTGAGATCCAGCCACTGCACTCCAGCCTGGATGACAGAGCCAGACTCCGTCTCAAAAAAAAAAAAAAAGAAAATCACAATGAAGAGAAAATATATTTACTATTCATTAAGTAGAAGTGGATCATCACAAAACTCTTCATCCTCACCATGTTCACATTGAATAGTCTGAGGAGGAGAAGGATGAAAAGGGGTTTGTCTTGTTATCAGCAGAGAAGGAAAACTGGCGTATAAGTGGACCAATGTGTTTCAAACCCATGCTGTTTAAAGTCAACTGTTTATTTTTTCCTTTCACTTCTTTTGCCTGAACTAAAATCTGACAGTTTCCATAATTTTATTTTTAGAGAAATGTATCGTCCTACTTTATATCTTTTAAAACATTATTCAACTATCTCCACAAGTAAGCTATCGAGGGATATATTGTCATCTTAATCACAGTTGCCCTAGCCTCCATTCTACACTCTAAATATAAAGCACAAAATTGGTCTGAGAAGTTAGTCTTGCTTCTGGTGAGCAATCCTTGGCACAAAATCTACGTCAAGTAAATTTCTCAAACTTCCTTCTGGCCTGCAGTTACCATGGTGCTGTGGCTTCATGTGTACAGACAGATTAGAAAGTGTAACCTGGGGTCTTGATGTGTATTTTGCTGTCATTCACTTTCACTTCATTATGGAATGTGCTCCAACAGTGCAAGAGACATTTGGGCACTAATTCAAACAAACAAACAAATGAACGAACAAATAAAAAATTAGATGGCCCAGGGGATAATGGCAGATCTCCCTGTAAGATTAAAAGAAACAAAAAAGTATTAATGATAAAATTTAATTTAGCAACCATATATTTACAACTTTACTTAGAATGTTTTGGAAAACTTGGATATATTCCACTAGAATTATGTGTGGATATGTAACTATGTGTTTCTTTTGTCAGTTTTTGTAGTCTTGCATATTGAGATCATTTATAATTTAAACTTGAAATACAACTTGAATTAGATCCCGTGTATCAATTTACTCTCTAGGAAGCCTTCAGCTTATTACTCAGCCTTATCTATTTTGATACACACACACACACACACACACACACACACACACAATCAGAGGAGTCTGCTAAAAATGGCTGCAACAGAGCAATTTTGTGATAATGTATGTAATTTGTTTTTAAGTGAACATCAGATACTTTTTTCTATTTTCTTTCTCATAAAGGTAACACATACTGGAATATTGTTCTAATGGACTCTATGCATGTGCTTTGAGCATCTAGCTCAGATATCACAACTGTATTTGCTAGAATGATTTGTCAGTCCATTGTATTATATGACTGTCAAATGGTACCTTCTGTTTTGGATCATTTAAAAATAAGTTTCTACTTTAATAGGAGGCAGAGAGAGTTTGATCAAAATTTACAAAATGACTTTAGCGTTTTTAAATGGAGCAAATTTTACACATAGTTTTGATCTTTTTCAGAGTCAATAGTGGGTGCAGTCTCTCTGTCTCTTTGTCCCAAAAAGAAGTGTTACTCTAAAATTCACAGGTCACAGAATCAAGCAAGTCCTGTAACTATAGCCAGAAAAGAGCCAGGAGACCTTTTTTTAACTGGCTGTTTTATTTGTATCAGTCTATCAAGCCCTACAATGATGCTTGACTGACAGGGATATGATGTTATTGTTGGTGGTGTAGAACCCTCTGAGGTGTGAAATATGACTCTGTTGTGCAGCCTGCTCTGTCCTGTCCACCTTTAACAATTGTCAACTCGGTTTGAACCCTAGAATCTTGTTGACAGATGAATGAAGCAGACTTGGCCAAGTTAAGCTTACAATGCTATTTCTGCCAATGTGGTAGATGAATTAGGACAAGAAATCTCAGTAGAACTTTTAGATGAAAACCTCTGATACCTTTACTGCATATTGAAAAAATGATAAGATTTTTAAGTCAAATTATGTCTTTTCCTGATATACTAATAACTACAATTTATAGCAGCTACCTACCATGTGTCACTTTACATACCAGTTCTCAGACCACCCTGTGACCTAGGAGTTACTATACCTA